TGCTCAAAAGACGATTTCTTGCTAGAATGATGAAACAAGGCTAGCTTAAGGATCTACTCCTGCTAATTGACTCTTTCCTAACGGAAAGGAAAGTTAGAATATAGTTAAAGCAAGTTATAATCAGGGAATATCCAATAGTCTACAAAACCTCTTAAGGCTCCCTTTTATCATTAGTTCTATATATACTGTATCTAACAGAACTATTCTTATTAGACATTTTTTTCAGATTCAGGTATACAAATAACATATGCCTATACAAAGTATCCAAAACTCTGAAAGAAAACACTAAACACTTCATTACAGATATACAAGATATTATAAGATAGAAAGCAAACAATTGTATTGTTTTTGCCCCAGAGAAGCTGGAAATAATCTATATCTCTATGGATAATGGTAATGTAGCATTTATTATCAGGGTTAGTGAAGAACTTATGATTCACCTGATAATAGCCATAGAAACAAACACCTGTTCAGTATTGAGATGGCTAGAAGTGTGGTTCAACAGAAAGCTGAACTTTCGTAAGTATATTATTGAATACACAAACAAAGCCAAAGCAGTGGCAAAGCATATCCAAGATCTAACCAAAGTTATATAAAGCCCCCTGGTGTATACAATATACAAGGCAATAATGATATATATACTATCCTTACTTCTATACAAAACTGAGATCTAGTATAGTAACAGATTCAAAGTTGCACAAAGATTAAAAACAGGATAGACAAAGGTCAATGCCTGCCTTAGCTGGTATATAATATAAATCGAAAAGGTTTTCACAATAGCAATACAAGGAGTTATACCAATCTGGAAAACCACACCGATAACCGCCTTCTATCATAAAACAGGTTTTCTTTTAATTATAGCAGCCCTTAAAAAAGCCAAATTGAGGTTTGCCTTATATCTCCAAAGCATAAACATAACCCATCTGTTTACAAAAAGAATCGAACCCCTTATAATCGTTAAAGGGCAAGACACGGGTTCAAGACAAAAAGTAAAGACCAAAGTCCAACAACTTGGTCTCCTCGTCCCCCCAATCCCAAGGCTCATATTCGAGTTATTACAGTATACAACCGATTGCCAAATAGACCCAATAAAAGGGATCAACAAAAAAACAGCCACAAAGGCCTTCAATATCTAATGAGAAAACCTGTCAGACACAGACATCACTATCTTTTCGGATAAATCGGAAAATCATATAAAAAGAAAATATATTGTGGATTACAGGTATATAATATATCCAAACAAAAACCAGATATTGGTAAACTTTGGCTCTATCAATATCTAGTTTTATATCTTTGATATAAAAACTATTAGAATATAAAAAGGTCTGGAATACATTTTTAAGGATGCCAGATACATTAACCAGAAAATCTGGATGTGTATCAATAATATCTCAGTTATTTGGGACATAAAGACTAATACCTCTATATTATTATAATAAGCATTTAACAAATATTATAAGGTTATGAAGGACTACAACATTCATATCAAATAGTTATTGGGACATGAAAGTATCGAAAGAAACGAGATAACTAATTATCTCACTGACCTGGATACCAAGAAACCCAGTTGGGATATTGGACCAATATCCCAATTTATTTATAATAGGGTGAGATCGATTGTATATACCCTTAGAGAAGAAGCCTATTAACAATAATAGGAATCATGTAAACCCGCTTTTTTGCTATAATACAAACAATGGGACCTAATCTACAAAATCAAACTATTGCCAAAGCTTTTATTCCTATAAGTAGTTTTGCACAGATTGATAATCATTTAAACCTTACATAGAGACTTTGAATAGTATCACAGGAAATTTGGATATATAGGAGATACAGAATGTATCTGTAGAAGACCCAAAACCCTGGTTTACCTGGTCTATTGCTGGAAGACAAGGGTTATCTTTGAATAATAGCTGAACAAGCCTTTCACACTATTATTGACAAACGAAAAAGGAATCGACTATTTTCGACAAATCTTAAACAATCCTATAGACTTTGCTAAACTATTAAAGCTAACAAAGTTCTATAAAGATATATACCCAAAATAAAGGATTACAAATCTGTATTCTACATATATAATCTAAAAACCTATAACAAGATATATCTACTACTAGGATCGACTTATAATATACAATATAAACGAAATCCTAAACTTCCTTTATAGAATATATACAGAGAAACAACCTTATCAACAGATATAAAAAACCTGATTAAATATTAATAAGATATACGAAAACATATCTGAGAACGCTCCCCGGAGTATATCAAATATTCTAATTGTTACACCAGAAATAGTATATTGAATCACTAGAGCGTACATAATAATAGGTCTATAACATAGGCACAATTGTCTACATCAGGCAAAGCAGCAGAACAACCTCAACTGGTGGAGGAGAGAATGTACAAATTGGAAGGTAACATATGATTACTGGGAATAGCTATAAGGCTTTCACTTTTCTTTTTAAGGCACTCTCATTTCATGTGTTGTAAAACTATAGCTTAGAATATCTGCATATCCCTAGGGAGGTTCTGAGGGCAGCCACAAGCTACCCTCCTGATGTAAAATAATACTACTACTACTACTACTCCTATGATTTCACACCTACCTTCACTCTTTTACAATAAGAGCTAGATCCAGAAGAGTGAAAGAGTCTTAGAGATAAGTATTGTACAATGTCTAGGTCTAGAGTTATAGAGCTAGGGCTCTAAGCTGTGAAAGGAAGGTTCAAGAGAGCCGTCATATCATGCTACGTACGTAGTATGAGCCAGTGGACGGAAGAGAGCCGTCTGTTCCGTCACAATAAATATAAACCTAATAAGCAAAAATACAAGTATAAGCATAAATAAGCCTATCTATACTGCCTGTCTAGTACTAAACAAAAAGGGAATCTATCAAAACCAATTATCAAAAACCAGTTTCCAAAACCGCCATACAGTACACGAGTAGATGAATAACCAGTAATTCCAAATTTCTACTCGGGGTAATCTCTTCAGCCAACAGCCTACAGCCAACACTGGCAGCCTACTCGAGTACAGCCAGACTCATATGTTTCAATAATTGCTCTCCAGAGTCATTATCAACCATTAACCATTAATCATACTGTATTCCATAATCTATAACCTATAAACTATGTACTTACCTATGTAAGTCTTATTTAGGGTAGGTAGATAGGTAATTTCCTTTTGTATAAGGATTGGGGGTTAGAGGTTAGGGGTTATGAGTTAGGGATTAGGAGTGATGAGTTATAACTATAACCACGAGTATAGTATAGTATAGTATAGTACCGGTGCTCTCCATTATATACCATCCCATTCCATTCCGTTGCATCAACAACAGTTAATCGGCGAGTCTAACAGATAGGTAGGTAGGTATTCGACTCTTTCTCTTTCTCTCTCTCTTCTCTCTCTCTTCCCTTTTTTCCCCTTCTCCCCTCCCTCTCTCCCTCTCATCTCTCCATCTTCTCTTCTCATCAAGTAAAGTTAAACTTGTTTATATTCCTGAAAAACTCAGTACTTATCTCATCTTTTCCCTTTCCCCTTTCCCCTTTCTTAGAAGTCGCGACACAAGCCCTGAACTCTTTCAATTATCCTTCCTCATCTCTCATCTCACCATCTCATTTCTCTTCTTTCTTTTCTCTCATCTCTTCTCTCGTCCTCATCCTCATATCTTCTCTCAACCTCTTCCTCATCTTTCATCCCATCTCCTCTTTCTCCTTGCAGCATTAAACCACACCGCACTAACTCATCCGAACAATTGGCCTCCATCTATTTTCCTTCTATCCACATGACTTTAAACTTTAAACTTTAAACTTTGGACTCTCAACTTTGAACGATCCCAGCTTCCCAGCACCAGTCAACTGGTTAACGTTGAATGCGAATGCGACTGCTAATATTAACATCCTTTGTCTAACCTTGTTCCGATTCATTAAATCAATGATGTTACTTTGACTTTTCACCACTTGTGATTTACCTCACCTTCACATCACTCCTCACTCCCCCCTTCGCCTCCTCGTCCCCTTCAAACCTAGCCGATACACACGACTTCCCCCGGTTTCCCCTTTTCCCTTTTCGCTTCCTCATAATCCCACTCAATCTCGAACATTCACACCACCCCACCCCATCCTATCCTATCCCATCTTGAAAACTCACGCACACCCCATCTCGTACTGTACCGTACACCCCGCATCTCTGTCTCTATCTCTTCTCTCCTCCATCTCATTCATCATTCCCCATCCATACGGAAGCAGAATCAAATTAACCAACTAATCTATCTCCTCATCTCCATACACTGCCTGCCTCCACGGCAGTGGCCCCCGGAGGGCCAGCGGAGCGTCATTCATCCATCATTCATCACTCCACTTAACATCAAAACACCCACCCACACACACTCACATACACAAATCTGAAGAAGAATATAAATATCCTATTCTCGCTATTACGAACCGGATAATTGATTCTTCCGCTCATGCTCATCTCCTTTCTCCTTTCTTTTCGCTTCCTTTTGAGCACATAACTAATATCGAGTTCTATCCGTCCATCCACCATATCACCCATTTTGTTCTCATTCCATTCCATACAATGGGGCATAAACACCGTTTCGTCGCATTCATCCATCCATCAATATTGATACTCATTCGCATCACCATCCCCTTTTCCATACATCAAGGGGAACCCCCCTAAACATCATCTCGTTCTTAGTTCCAAAACCAGTGGACTAAAATCCCACAACCCATCACGAAAACCGGAAATTTCCGTGCCATGGTACCAGCCATACCAACACCGTCCGTCACCCTTTCACAAAAGAGCTTTAAGCCAGAGAAACCCACCGAATATTCCAATCCAATGCTTGTGAAACAAAAAGACATAATTCGACGGAAGGTTTTCTTATACGTACTGTAATATATGTGCAGAAGAATAGTTTAAACTGCAAGGTACAAAAGAAATGTGGCCTTCTTGAAAGAAGTGGCCGAGCTCCGGGACTCCGAGTATGAAATTTTTGTTTAAAAATCGGGGAATAGGTGCCCAAATCTAATGGCTGTTAGTTTAAATCTGAAGGTATTCAAGACATTTACTCACTCATCAGTCCCACTTTGTCCATATACCTCCGTTTCTTCGGGGTACTTATCAAACTGACTAGCATCTCCAACTCCGGCCTTGACGGGAGGAACATAAGGTGCATCGATATCCTTTTTGGATAACCTTTCCCAAGTTACTTCAGCGAACCATTGATGATTTTTAACATCCTCAGAGCCCCCATGCAAGTTGCCAAGGCGTTTGGTGAGATCCGCTGTGATCAATCGTTGTAATAAATCTTGTGCATCTGGATGAATGTAGGGAGGATATTTGACCCTTCCCTTGAGAATGTTCTCATAAATTTTCATAGGAGAACCACCATCCCAAAATGGTGTGAAACCACAAAGCATTTCAAAGATCAATATACCAAGTGACCACCTGACCCAATATGTTAGTTGGCTGTCACAATGTTCTGGGACAAAAGACTTTGATCGAGCGCAGCGAGGACGGGGGCTTGGGGGCTTGCCCCCACAAGAGAAGATACGTAAAGAGGAAGATTCGCTTGATGACACTCCGCTGGGCCACTGCCGTCGAAGCTCTTTCGCTTCACTCTAGAAAGGGAAGTGATAGAATGAAGGGGCTAAAACGTACCAGTCTACGGACTTATTATAACCTTTACTTGAGACTACTTCTGGTGCTAAGTAATCCGGAGTTCCACACAATGTCCATGTGATATCTGGGACCTTTTTTGCAAACCCAAAATCAGTAATCTTGAGATGTCCGTGCCTGTCAAGAAGTAAATTCTCTGGCTTCAGATCCCGATAGATGATCTGCTTTGAATGAAGGTATTCAAGGGCCAGGGTAACTTCAGCGGCATAAAACTTGGCCACTGGGTTGGGGAATCTCTACAAGAGACTAATTAGTGTGTATCAAAAAGATGGTGATACTAAGCATACTTGTGATTTTCTCAGTAAAGAAAATAATTCACCCCCCTCAACAAAGTCCATAACCATGTATAAATTCCTCGAATCCTGAAATGTACCCCAGAGAGTGATGAGAAATGGGTGCTTGACTTCTTGTAACATCCTTCTCTCGTCATTGGTATGTTCGACCTGCTTCATCTTGTGTACCTGGGCCTTCTTCAATACCTTTACGGCATAGTATCGCTGATTGTGCTTCGATTGAACCAAATGAACTCGCCCGAAACTCCCAGTACCCAGTGTGCGCAAAATTTCGAAGTCGGTCAATGAATATTTGCCCTTAGTTTGTCTAATTTGGGGCTGCTGCTGTGGTTGCTGCGAATGCCGCTGAGAAGCATCCATTTGGATTGTGTTGGTGTTACCAGCTACAGGATGTAGCGAAGCTTGCGAGGAGGTTGGTGGGGTTGGATACGACTGGCTCGCGCCGTCATGCTGTGGTGGATGAATCAAGTTGCTAATGCTTGGTGAATTTTGACGATGCTGTTGCTGTCCTGAATGTATATGCGCAGATTGCTGCTGTTGAGTTATTCCGTGTGTCATTGAGCCTTTTTTGCCCACGCCAGTAGGCTGGGAGGGTGTGCGGGAGGTTGTAGTTTGACGGACCTCTTGCTCGTGGTATTGGGGCAAGGTAGATTGAGTAGAGATAGAAGCTATTGAATTATCGAAGCCTCTTGATGATGTGGGGGTTATCGGACTTGTGGCTTGACTTGAAATTGGAGAGGTTATGCCCGGAGACTCCTTCGTCCGTTTCTTCTTTAGAAATCCGAGTGTCGGCATAGAATAGAAATGGTAGGTTGCTGGTCGTCGAGTGTGATGGATCGACAGTCAGCAAAGCAGGGCCGGGTCTGTAGGCCGAATGCAGGAGGGTATGTAGAGTTGACAGGCCAAGAATGTTAAAGGATTAGTTGGGGAAATAGATGGTTGTATCCTGTGGATTTACCCAAGAGAGGAGATATGTTGTAAATTAACAACGTAAAAGTCCCTCTCTCGATACTCCTGAGTTTTTAGTTCTTGGAGAATGAAAGAAGCTGGGGAGGAGTTGAGAGTAATAAGCTTCGTAGGATGCGGATCGTTGCATCTGTGATAATGAACTGTGTCTGTTGTTGCGACCAAAGACAACGAATTGCTTGAATTGTCACAATATTAGAGTGAATTAAGGATTGTAAGATATTCGGTATTAGGAGATAATGATACTGAATTGAAACAATTGAGGATATTGAGGGAATTGAGGGTAATGATACATAAGTTAATAAGAATTGATTGTTTTTTTGTATTTTTGTTAGGTTCTCGAGGAGGTTGGTTGGTGGGTTGTATTTGGTTGGGGGGTAGTAGGTTGTTAGGTATGAGGTATGCAAGAACTAAGGGCATTCGAGTTGTGAAGGGTTTAAAAAGGGTAAGAAAATGTAAAATGTAAAATGATAATTGGTAAAAAAGGGTGTAATTTCGGAATTTCGAGCGGAAGAGTTTATTAGAGTTATTCTGTACTCGAGTAGGTCACTCTTCTTGTACAGTATTTGACCTACTTGAATTCCTCTCCTCTCCTATCAAGTTTGGTGGGGTTAAAGGTTCATCATCGATGAATGATCCATCTTTTGATGATCGACGAGAGGTTCAGTCAGGCCGATATCAATTCATCAAGAGAGAGAGGGGTTTAGCGCAGGTAGTTCATTGTTATTTCTTTCTTTCTTTTCTTTCTTCTCTTCTCTTTAAAGTAGGTAGGTAGGTTGAACAAGAATGAAATAATGGCTTGTCACACACCCCGATATGAGATAACTGTCCTCCTGGTTTCTCCACCCATTGAATACTATTATCCATCAGAGAAAGTGAGTAGCCACAGCCTCAGCCTCACAACTTGAATCATGCAACCAATGACAATGCGAGGATATTACAAAGGAATTGTGCAAACAAATAATCTTGATTACCAGTAACTCTAAATTTTGATGCTTGTGATGATGTCAACTCAATGAATCAATTACTTGTAATTGAATTTGTATACATCTTTTTTTATTGTATTATATATATTATAAGAGTTATCGATATATTGTATCTATTCCCATTCCCATTTCCATTCCTATTCCCATAGCAAGAATTGAGCATCTACATGTATCTCATTGATTCCCCAGTCCTCGCTAAGATACCGTTATTGCAACAATAGTTCTAAAGCCCATACAACGCAATGTGGTATTCCTTGATTACCCCTCATGTTCTTTCAAAACTCCACGCTATGCTTCGTCAATCCGGGGTCCCGTTAATATTTCCTCAATTCATTATTGACCACTCATTCCCCAATTTTGCTTTCCGACCACATTCCATCAACGATTTGGAAAACGGCAGTGACAGCTTGCATCACCCCTTCATCAACATCTTGCCCTCCCAATTTCTGTTGGATCTTGTCAGGATGCCACCGAACTCTTTCCAGTTTCAATGTTTTCGTGATATGTGATTCCGTAGGTTGTCCAGAGCTTGGTGCATATAAGAAAAACCGTCTGATTTCCTCAAGTTTAACATCCTTTCGGCTGCCACTTTCCACTGGCCAGGGTATGGATGCGATCGCAACTTTCGAGGAATTCTTCCCAAGTTCTTCCCATTTCTTGATGTAATTATCCCATTTTGCCGCCCAAACCTTCCTTGACCTCCTATCTTGACCCCTCTTTAAACTCTCCTCGACCTGTTTCCTGAATCGTTCAGCCTCTCTCTCCCCTTTCCTACCTTCTTGAGCCAACCGTTCTCGCTCCTTCTTGGCTGCTTCACGTCGAGCCTTTTCCTCTATCAAATGTTGATGGGTCTTCTCGTACATTTTACCTCTGACATATGATGTATATTCCTCATCTGTCATTTGCTCCAGTTCGCCTGCCGGACCTTGCTTGACGTCAGGATATGTATGAATCGGTTGTCCATAAACGCCCTCCCAATACTGTGCGGCTTCATCATCGGCCATAGCATCAAACAAACTCTCCCTGAATGCAACATCTGGGTCGAGGTATTGATTTGATGAGGTATTAGGAAGGTGCGTATCATCGTAGAGGGATGGATCATCTTTGGTCACAGAGGGTGATCTCTTGCTTCGTTTTGAGCGGTGATGATGACGGTGACGTCTTTCTTCGCTATAACTCTCTGGAGTTTGTCCATTTTCATCCTCTCCACGCGTCCTCTTTGATTTGAATCGAAATTTGGTTGAGTGGGATGTCATGTTTTCGGATCCAATGAAACAAGGATCCTAACCACTTCTTGCAAGAATTTTGTCCGTAATATACTTGACCTAACTCTTTCCCGTATGATACTTGTCCTGGTCGTCAGATATTGTAATACGACTCGCTCCCTCTATTTTGGGTATCCTCGAGCTCGCACTGATTGTTGAGCCAATCAAATGAATACTAATTGCTGCACCTACTAGAAATTTTTGAGGAAAATGGATTCTTCCTAGCATATACTGATTCCAAACAAGTATTTGAAGTTGTGGTGTAACAGATAGTTGAATAGGTTTGTGGTTGTATTTACACAGACAGAGACTGTGATTACCATATTATTCATGATGGGTTTACCACTAAATCTCTTATCGGTTGCAGAAGCAAGTTACTAGCGTTATCGCTGCCTTACGGAATTCAATTATTCCAGCCGACTTCATTCAGGTCCAAACATCACAAAAGGTTTGTTCGATATCTGAGCTGAGAATTAACCTTGGGCCTTTTGGGAAAGGTTATATTTTTATTATTTGTTCAAATAGAGAGAGGTTCCACGACCTCAGAAAATAGTATCTCATTAAATTTGGAAGAGAACTGATCCAGTCCGGACCCGGGGCGTATTCTTGGTCAATTTTCGCATGATTTGCGACAACAGGTTCTGTCAATTTTAATTTCGAAGATCCGATACACACGATGTCTGGCAAGGGATTATCTTATGGTCTCAGCATCACAAAGAAACCAAATGGCAATGGCGCGAAACAACCTCCTGCGAAACGGAGACCGATATTTGGTGGAGACGACGATTCGGACGATGATACCAAAACTGGGGATGGTGGAATAGAGGAGATTGGTGAGCTTGGGGAAGCATCATCCAAACAAACTGTCGCAAAGCCTTTACAGAAGAAAGGTCCCAAAATTTCGATTGGATCTAAACCGAAACTCGATCCCTTAAAGAAGGCGCCTATAGGCATGTATGGCGACCTCTCTAGTTCATTCACGTCGAAGAAACATGCAGAGACCGCAGAAGAACTTGATGCGAATATCTACGACTACGATGCAGTTTACGATTCATTGAAGCCACAAAAGAAGATAATCCCCGAAGAAGAAGAACGGAAACCGAAATATATGAGCCATCTCATCGCAGCAGCCGCGGTGCGAAAGCGCGATTCTACAATTGCCGAGGAGAAGAAACTTGCTAGAGAACGAGAAGCTGAAGGAGATGAGTATGCGGATAAGGAGAAATTTGTGACATCGGCATACAAGAAACAACAAGAGGATAATCGCCGGGTTGAAGAAGAAGAACGATTGAAAGAGGAGGAAGAGCAAAGAAAGAATAAAGGCACGGGGATGACCAACTTCTACAAAAATATGCTTGAAAAGGGTGAGCAGAAACACGCTGAGGTAGTAAAGGCTGCCGAGGAAAGGATCAAACAAGGACCTCAAGAAGACACGGCGGAGGATGCAAAGACGAAGACCGAAGCAGATATAGCACGGGAAATCAACGAGAAGAAGGCAGGTACAATTGCAATCAACGATGAAGGTCAGGTTGTTGACAAAAGAGAATTACTCAAAGGCGGACTGAATGTAATACCGAAGCCGAAATCAGCGCCCAATGCGAATTTATCAAGAAGTGGAAACTCAATGCCTGATCGCGGAAGAGGCAATGCATTTGTGGGAGCCGGAGGTGGCAAACAAGCCATGCGCGAGCGACAATCACGAATGATGGAGGCACAATTGGAACAAGTTACGAAGAGAGCCTTGGAAGAAGACGAAGAAGAGAAGCAGAAAGTGGAGAGAGCTTCTAAGAGTAGAAAGACCGAGGGCGATATAATGAGCGCCAAGGAGAGATACCTGGCCAGGAAAAGGGAGGCAGAAGAAGCAAAGAAAGGAGGAGAATGAGGAATGTCTTTACATAAGCCTTAACGGCAGCATTCGTCCTGAGACCTAGTTGAATCTAACCACTCTGGAATCTGGTTAGAATCACCTAAACTTTACTATGGCCACAGAAGGTCTACACACCACACAACTAGGGAAGAACCAGGAAACAGCGGTCCTACGAATCTCAACCCAAGATATATCACAGAGACCATGAGCCACAATCATGATTGTGGTACGTCAGATACCCATAATGCCTCGAGGAATAATGCTCCATCTCCATCGTATCATATCGCTTATATGAGGATAGCTGCACTAGGATACCGAGTCTTTGCGCTGCAGGATGTAAACACAATCTACCAAATCACAATCATAACCTATGTCCCAGAGTCGTAAGTATTACATTTCATTCATAGTGGTGATATCTCTAACCCTCTGCTTTGTGTCCACTTCAATCCTAGAGGCGCGGTGACCCATTTATAGTGTACAAGAATACAATACACTCCTTCTACCATGACATCTCAGAGAGCCATCCCATGTCTCGTTCTCATGAGGTATACCTATTCTCTCATTCCCTCGCCACACAGTTCGTAGCCAACCTGGACAATTGATATCTCATGATCTGTTCCCCCACCTTATAAGTTTTCCACCCTTCACCTTCACCTCTTCATCACAAACCAGTGTCTCAAAATCCATTCCCTCGCTCTATAAGTTTTTTCCACCCTTCGCCTTCACCTCTCTTCCATAATCCCCATCTAGAACATCCCCCCAGCAGCACCCCCGCTCGTCGACTCTTTCTGCAACCTCGCAATATATTGTTTAGAAACAGTACTCCACGCTGACATGTATTTCTCCATACACTGTGTGAAACAAGTTGTCTCGCCGCTGCTGAGTGAGCTACCGGGTTTAGGGACGCATTTCTCGAAGCAGTGTTCGTTCACTTTCTATGAGGGTGTTAGTTTATGGGGTTGGAAGAGGAGAAGGAAGGGTATTTACTTCGATTAATTGTCTAGCATTGTTCATGGCAGCTTCTTGACGAATTTGGTTCATAATGGCGGTTTTTGGGTCCGAGGAGGCAAAGGCATTGGTGAGGGAATCCATGATTGTGTATGTGTATATGTGAATATGTGAATATGGTGCTTTGAAGAAATCGGATCACGAGTTTTTATATAGAAAGAGGACTATTTTTCGTTGTTGATTTCTACAATGTATATTTAAATCTCGAATTTTCAAATGTTATCGAAGTAAAAAATGACGGATGTCAAATTCCAGCCTCGGTCTAATAAGGCAAGTAAGAAAGAAGAAATACAGGGCCTTTCAGCACCGCAAGCACCCGTCACGAACGCTACAGCGCTATTAAAACAACAAGAGTTAAAAAGTCACAGGGATCTCAGCTCAATTCAAAAATCCCCGATGCCGAATGTTCACAGACGGGAAATCTTAAGGCCAGCTAACTGTTTCATTTCTCCAACATCCTATTCTATTTCCTGCCGAGGACCTTTTTTTCTCTACTTACTTTACTTTTTTTCTTTCCTAGCTTCATTCATCGTCAGGTTGTCGAATTGATTTTTGAATTGATTGAGACGGTGGTGAGGTACAAACAGCGGTTGAAGAATATTGTGGAATAGGGACAAATTCGATAGGAATTATGTGGTTTCCTAAATCATTGTCGGCGTTATGGCTGGCATCATGTGTGATGGCAGCTGGAGATACGCAGACTACCAAGTTGAGCGAGGATGGGATTAGGAGTATACCGGTTTGTTTTACTCTACAGCTGGATCGGTACTGAGAGATTAGTTGGCTGACTTGTTGGAGTAGCTTCGAACGCATTCGCTGAATCAGGTCAGTAGTTGGATAGGAAGCGCAATAGAGGATTCTTGGAATTTTACTGATTTGGAATTGGAATAGCCATACTTGGATTCAGATATGCAGAGTCGATGGTTTGATTTTGGAGGGAATACCATTGTGAGAGCAGACAAGTATGGATGCGCACCAACCCGATTTTGAGTGAATTGAATGGATGGGCTAACATGTAGGATTATAGATACATACGATTGACATATGATCATCCATCATCTTCAGGATGGCTCTTCTCACGAGTTCCACTGACGGCCACAAATTGGGAGGTATGAGCAAACCCACCTACCTTCTTCTCAATCCAATCTGACCGCAACCCTTCTCCTGCAGATCGAAGTCGAATTTAAGGTCCATGGCCAAGGCAACCTTCACGGCGATGGATTTGCCATGTGGCTCACCAAACAACGCGGCATCCAAGGCGACGTCTTCGGATCCGTCGACAAATTTGAAGGTCTCGGTATCTTTTTCGACACGTACAAGAATAACCGCCCCGGCACTGTCTTCCCTTATGTAATGGCCATGGTTGGCGATGGAAACACCGCCTACGACAAAAATACCGACGGCAAAGATCAAGAATACATGGGCTGTTCCGCACGAGGTCTCCGCAACGCAAACGTACCAACTAAAGCTAAACTCACCTATTTCCAAGACAAGTCTCTCAAACTCGAACTCCAATACAAGAAGGAAGATCAATGGGAACTCTGTTTCGAGACCTTCGAACCACCCACCATCCCCTCCGTAGCATACTTGGGATTTTCCGCGGAAACGGGAGAATTGAGCGACAACCACGATATTATCAGCGTCAACACTAACAATCTCTACGATACCAACACGCACAAGAACAAAGACAAAGATGCGCAACCGAAACCAGGCAATGGCAAGAGTAGATCTGGAAAGGGTCAGGGCATTTTGGACAGAAAGAGAAAACCCAAGGGAAGCTGGACTTGGTTCTTTGTTAAGTGTTTCCTTGGAGTGGCGGTTCTTGGTGGTGGATATGCCGGATATGCGGCTTGGAGGACGCAGCAGAGGAAGAGTCATCGATTTTAGGCGGTTGAGGAAGGAAGACGGTGGGGGTTTGAGTGTTCAAATCCATTTAGATTTGAATATTGATTCAGAGAAAGTTGGGGATGAAATGGACATAGGAAAGCTGAAGAATGGGAAATGCGAAAGAAACCGAAGCCCGTATCGAAGGAGAAATGATTTGTCGCAATTTTATGGATGGGCACGGGAAAAGTTCGAGGAAAGGGAAAGAGGAACATGGACAGCCAGTGTAGTATACCAAGCAAAGACCGAAAACCAATATTCAAAGCTAGGAAATGGACGAGAAGGGAAACGGACTCCTTTCTTTTTCATGATATTGTCTCTATTGTTTATATTGTATAATGTGCCTAAAGATGATGATGACACTAACACTCTGCACAATCTAAGCGAGATACAAGTATAGGGGAACTAAATCTAGATCTAGACCGTATATCTAGAGCGCATGTGAAAAGCTGCGGTATAGATAAAGGGCAATAACGATGTGACTTCGAAATTCTATAGTATAGTAACGCGGTATTTGTGATGGATGTGGATGTAAATGTAAATGTAAATGTAAATGTAAATGTAAATGTAAATGTAAATGTAAATGTAAATGTGAACGTGAATGTAAAATCGATTCTAATCCTAATCTAAATCTAAACCTAAAACAGAATCTAAATCTACAAAGTATTTACCTATTATTCCCTCATCATTCCTTCCTCTTTCCTACCTCCCTCCCTACTTCCCTACTTCCCTACCCCCCTCCCTACCTTTCTTTCCCTTCCCTCTCTACCCTTCCCATCCCTTCCTACCCCTCCCTACCCCTTCCCACCTATTTACTCTACTCTACTCTACACATGCTACTCGAGTACACTGCACTACACTTCACTATAATTCACTACCTAATAATCAAATTCAAACTCAAACTCAAACTCAGATTCATTTACTATACTATACTATACTATACTATACTATACTATAACATTCTACACACATCACAAATCAAATACAAGATACAGTACGAGTATCCACCACCTACATACATGCACGTATACATACATACATACATACATATATACTCACTCCCCAGTTGTATACATATACAAAACATGACAAAACACAAGAAAAAACAACTAAATTCTAACAATAACAGTACAAAAGCATCAATCAAGAAGAGAATTCGAATCAAAGTTCGCTATAATACGATTGGGTATATTCATGCTAACCAAACCTAAGCTTCAACTTTCCAACATCGTTAACCAATTTCAAACTCGAGTGCGTGTGATAGAAATACATATAGGCTTGCACTGCGAATTGCGGACCTGGAGTTCAAAAGTGCCAACCAAAAACCCATGAAAAATGCCTCCAGGGCACGCTGATATCCTATAAAAACGCCAATCGTCTATTCATAATGCGTATCATCTTTCGTTCCCTCGTTCCCTCGTTTCCTCAATCAGAGGTAAGAGCATTGCTCATGCCCATTAAGGCCATGCCAATAAATGCAAATGAAATACACAAACTCCTGTTGTGGTTCAAGCCTAAACACTCCGCAAAAAGATGCAATGCGACACTTGCCATAATACCTGCCGTGACACCAAACATGCATCCATAAACTACAATATTAGGCGTGTGACCTTCTCGTCCAGCAATCGAGAACCATGCAGCTGCGATTGCGGCTCCTGCTGGTTGCGAGACGCCACCAAAGAGGGAACTCCAAAGGATAGCTCGAGGCCGACTACCAAGTGCTAGATACAATGGTAGAGCCATTGCGAATCCCTCGGTAACATTATGGACGAGTAAAGCTAGGAATACGGAAACTCCTAATTCAGGGTTTGCATGATTGGTGGCAAATGTAATAAAGCCTTCCGGTAGCTTATGCAATCCAATGGCTATACTTGTTTGGAGACCAATATCCATAAAGGCATTTTCAGGAACATGGTGGTGATGTTGTTGAGATTCAATGTCGAAGTTGATATTACTGGCCGTTTCTGTCTCAGAGGGAGCCTTGTTTGATCTTGCTGAATTGCCCGGGGTCACATCTTCATCCTCATCCGGTAGGATGAGAGGGTGTGACAGAGTTGATAGGGTACCTGTTGAGGTTCGAGTCAAATAAAGAGGCCTTACATTTATGGGAGTTCTTGAGCATTCTCGTCCACAAAGCTCGGAATATCCAAAACATGGTCCACTCTCGTCACAATTGGCCTTTCTATCTTTTACAAAAGACATAACCCTGGCTTGAACTTGTGTCAAGGATGGTCGTTTACCACTAGTTTCAGATTGGCGGCGATTGCTTGGCTGAGAATCTGTGTTTGTCGGTTCAAGACCCTTGGATAGAGGCTTCCCAATCTCTCCTGACCTTCGCAGAAGTAGTGGCGAAACTTCCGAGACACACGCCCCTTGATGTAATGCTGCATGAGAACTCGTCATTGAGTGTGTACGGCTGTGGCTGTGTTCATGGGGGCCATCAATACCGTCGATTTGGGTGTGATCATGATGTGCGGTGTCGATATTATGAGAATGATCACAGTGTGAGACATGTGATGGGATAAATTGGTGCATGAGCCTTGAAACAATTTGTATGCCAATAAATCCTGCGGCGAAACAAGCCAAGAGAACCCATGCAGCGGCATGTGCTGTATAACCACCCTGAACCAGATATTTCTTCGACGTTGGAAGCATACTATATAATGAGGAGAATATCTAATAGAAGAAGTTCAAAATTAGTAAATCATAATGGATCGGACAGAGTTGTGGAAGAAGGTTGTGGAAGAAAGAAAGAAAAACAACTAACCATTACACCAAAACTTAAGCTCAAAGATGCAGCTAGGAAAGCATTGTTATCCTGTATCCGGAAGTTCTTCTTGCTGGGGAAATATTGAAGCAATAGATCGATGCAGATAATGGAACTACCAAGGACACATGCTAAAGACCATTGTTAGAGTTGACTGAACATCCATCTATGGACCATCGAGTATTGTACCAACCTATTCCACTGATTACGCTCATAGTCCACCCCCTCATGTCATTACTCAAGAATGTGTTTGCCTCCATGCTAATGTCGTTACCAGCTACCAAGATATATTCTTCTTCCTCGAATGTTCTGTCCGTGGAGTATTGATATAGAATTCATATACTCCTATGTATCAAATAGAAGGTCGAACAAGAACGATATCCAACAAGGCTGAAACCGACAGTGTAAGTTATCACAGGATATGGCAGGTATTCAAAGGTATTGTGCGATGAATGATGGAAGTAGATCGAGTGTTGTCCGAGTGTTGAATGTTGTTGAGTGTTGAGTGTTGTAGCTGTTTAACTAGTATTTAACTGATAACTCGAGTACAGGTCCGAAGTATAACATTGAGTATAATGAGTTATGATTCAAAGGTAATAAAGTGCTAGTGAGGCCTAGCAAAGAAGCAAATAAGGAAGGAATGAAATCAAATAGAGACAGATTATTACTGTGATAGGTAGGAATAATTATTGATATATAATACGAACCAAACAATTCAATTCGGAATTACCGTAAATGATCATTTTGCATTTGTTATTGATGATTAAGGAAGGCTCGGCTTTTGTTACTTAACCATCAAGGTTCTCAAATACAAGCGTGTTAAAGGCGGTCGTAAGGCGGCACCGTGGAAGCAACTACCCGTATCCCCTCTTGTTACTAGTTCCACCCCTACTAGATATAGTTTATTATCATGATTCAAATATGACTTAAACTATATATATATATAAGCTATATAAATTATCCTAAATAAATAGAATAGAACTCACTTAATTCTATAATAGAAAGATAATAAATTATCTATAATTATCTTTTATATATAGTAGTTCTTTTTTTAAAGAAATAAAGCAAATATTAGACGAGAACCCCTGCTCCCGATTTATAATTTCTCAATCTAGATATACTTATACTATATACTATTAGAAGTTAAGATTAAAAGAGAGTTATATATATATATAAGTATATAACTAGTAAAGGCGCTAAATGGTTTCTCTACTAAAATAATAATCTTAGATAGGAAAAAAACTTAATTCTATTAATATAATCTTTTTTAATAATATCACTAGCAATAATACTATTATTTCCACTATATTATAGAGCATCATTTTCTAACAAATTATAAGTTCCGATTTGTAAAAGCAGTTAATAATTAGATAAAGCAAAAGAATTATATTATTATCAAAAAAAAGATTATATAATAATAATAAAATTATAATGCTAATAAGCAAAAACAAAAAGGAATTATATTTTTATTACTGAAAAATGATAAAGCAAAACATTTTATATAACAATATATT